AGGGACCGGATGGTTCGGTCCCTTAGGCGAATGAGGCTTTAGGGAAAGAGTTTAATTGCCAAATTACACATGTGCCCCTTCTCCAAATATTCTCCTTAAGGCTCATGAGGGGTAGTTTGGATAAAAAGGCTAAAGTTTACTTAAACTAACTTCGACGATTTTTAGTTTTAAAATTGTACGAAATTAGGTATAGGTTCTTTATACTGTTTCGATCGAAATTTCGTGTAGGATTTAATAAAATTATTTGCGTCGAATTCAGACGACTTCAAAATTTCGCCTAACTTCATCGTGGCGCATCGAAATGCGTGCGATGCATCCGATCGAAAGTTTTTGGGTTTTACATATTGCTCACCCACAAACTAACACAAGACAGAAGCTGTGAATCGCAATTTGAAAAATCTATTACAATATTTTGTGGGGTAGAAAATCCAACAATGGGATCTTATTCAACTCAAGTCAAATTTGCTTATAATTGATCTATTAGCCAGATCACAGGTTGAAGTCCTTTTGAGACTATACATAGAAAAAAAAAACATTATGCCTATAGAATTGACCACAACGACCACTACTACTACTACTAAGTTTAACATTGATGCCAGTAAACAAGCTGGCAAGATTAAGAAACTCCAACTATTTGGGATATGATAATAAAGAACACCCAATATATAAACATTGCACTTCAGTTTCTTCTAAAGAAGGTGATTAGGCATGGATTCATTTGCAAAAAAAACATTTTCCACCAAGTCCATTTACAAAACTTAAACCATAGGCCAAAGGCCCTTTACGTGTCATCAAGCATATAAGCAAAAAATACATACCAAATTAATTTAACAAAAGAAACAAGCATATTCGAAAACTCTAATGTCACAAAACTATCATCATATTACAAATAAAAAAAGGCTCAACACATTAAAGATGAGTCTCCTCTAGCCCAGGAAGCACAACATAAACCTTGGGGATAGAGTCCCTTTTTACAAGTTTCCTTATATTATGAATTTTTTTTTCCTTTTTTAGAGGGCATATTTGTACAAAAAGAGTTCAATAATATCCATAGGGGATGGCACATTTAAACCCCATTTCTCTTTAATGGCTAGTCTTTAGTGGAGTTATTTCAGGTTTTGATCTACTTTTGGGGAGGATTTCCTGATTTAGGAAGGGTGGAAAGGAGGAGGTGTTCGTAGTAATGGAGTCTAGAGTTTCACCACAATCATCATCAAAACTCTGGCAATCATATACAGGTGGCTATCTAAGGTGGGTTGCAGTGAAGTACCTCTATGAGAAGGATTATCGTGAGCCTAAGTAGATCCTTGGGGTTGTCAAATAGCCATCAAGCATGGTACAGCCAGGTATATACAGTTAACAGGCTTACTAGCAATCCCAAGAGCGAGGATCATTGGATGGTGGCAAGTCTTCTTCCCTGTTGATCAACTACCATGGATCAGCCTCTGTTCTTGTAGTCGGATTTATGAAGATCTGTACATGGCCAATTTTGCCCATCCAGCAGATCAATGATTCAAGAACTCAAAGGAACCTTCAGGAAAATGAGCAAGAAGGAGATCTTTTGGTGCATGATGGGGACATCGACAGGAGATTTTGACACGTTTATCAGAGACGACACAGGAGATCGATGGCCATGATGGAGAGCCTTTACTATTGATGCCTATTTTGTATTAGCATTTCATGTATTATGTATTTCTTTTCAGTTTTTCCACTTTTGTCCTTATGGGTAGTTGTTTGTTTTTGTAGCTCAAGGGGCATGTTAGTCTTTTGTATTAGTTATCATGTAGAGCCTATATATATATGGCTCTTGTATCTTGTATGAGGATTGATTATTGTTAATGAAAATTTCTAGTTATTGATCTCTTTGTGAGTTCTACATTTCCCTAGTTCTCTTCGTGAGTTCTTGAGGAGAGTTTCGTCGATCTCTGTGTGAGTTCTGGCATCCCTACAATCTCTTTTGAGATCTTGAAGGAGTGCGTGACGTTAGAAATTCCTAGATTACTCCAAAATTTCTCATCCTTTACCAAGCTCTGGAATTTCCTCCCCATTTTCTCCTTGCCGCCGGCCCTGTTGGCCCGTCCAGAAAATTGGCCGCCGGCTGATTGCTCCATCCCGCAATCAGCCCCCTCCGCCGGCCTCCCCTCCACACCGCTTCCATGTCCGTCTCACACCAGCCCGCCGGCCACCCTACTCCCATGAATTGAAATTCAATTTCAAATGCCTCAAATTCTTTCCTAATTTACATCTAGATCACTTAGGAAAGTTGCCTTTTTTTTTATTATTCAATTACCTATTAGATTCCAACAGATCCAATGGCTTAATACCACTTAGGAAACTTTCCTAGTAGAGCAAATCTGAAAATCAAATCTCAGATTTGCTGCCACCATGGTCTATTCTCTAGAGGGCCCACTTAATTAATATTAATTGCTCCCTCTTCAATACTTATGGCCGGACCCTTAAATGGCTCTCCTCTCTCCCCAAATTAAATTAAATGCTCCACTAAATCAGCTACAAATCCTTCTCTATTGCCGCCCATCTCCCCCCCCTTGCATTGATTTGAATTTTCAAATCAAATCCCTCCCCCTTTATTTGGAAGCCAAATTGGATTTCAATTAATTTCCCTCCCAACTCTCTAAAACTGAAATTAATTTCAGTTTTCAAAATAAACCCAACCCCCTCTCCTCTCTTGGATTTCTTCGTGATCTCTCATCTACAAGCTAAGGATGCATGGCGGATCCCGAACTTGAAGGCAGACTCGTGTTCAACGTCTACGGAGACATCCACATTCTTCGATCCCCATTCTTCGACGTGGGGTTTGACCACGACGACACCAGTGGAGGTTACTTGGATCGAATCCTCCCCACCCTTGTGCACGTCGTCGACGGTCAATTTTCAGACTACGAGTGGATCATCAACGGTCATCCTCCCGTGCCACCTCCACCTCCGAGTACCTTCCCAACAACGACGTTCCTCGGCTCCTCCCTCCTCGTGGCGACTTCATTTCTAGCGTTGACGATCTTCCTCCGCTCAACCTAGATTCGTAGGAAAGAGAGAAGGTTAACAAGGTGAACAACTTGTTATTAATCTTTGGATTCATGTTATAAGCTTTTAACATTACTTCCCCCTTTGTGTTTGATTAAATTGTCTTGGTGAATTTCCATGCAATTCTTTGCCTAAGCAAGTTGAATACGGAGAACTATTGTAACCACTTTGAATTGATGCATGATTTTATAATGGTTAATCTATTAGTAAATTTTCTTTTATAATCTTGTGTAACTCCAAACTTGCATCACATCAATGATTAACTTCAAATCAGGTTAATCAGTGGTTCAATATGTCTAGCCAACATTTGCTTTGGGAATTGCATCTCCAAGAAAGAAACTCACAACCGAGGATCAAAAGAGAGAGATCATATAAGGCACCATACACTAGGATCACTTCAGCTAACTATTTGGGCTTGGAAAACTGCAAGGAAGCAGAGATTGTTCTGGATTTTCCTAGAACCTGTAGTGAATTGCAGCGGTACCAAACTTAGGAACTTCAAGCAGTAAGGTGGAAGTTCAAAACCTATGTTGCACCGATACACCTATTTATGAAGGCGTGCTATATCCGATACACCGATACACGGATATGCCTCTGATACTCCACCGATATGTGTCGGATACGCCAAAGCCGTATCCAATTAAAATACTATTTAATTTCAAAAGGACACGCGTATCCGATACACGTGTCCCTTGAAAAACAAAAAGAAATCCGAAAAAAAGACGTGTCGTATTTACTTCCGCGGTTGCGAGCAAGATACTCTAATTTCCGAGATGAATTTGAGTCTCTTGATGATATGAAAATATTAAAATTTACTAATCTTACACTTGATGAGACTAAATTAGAAGCTAGGATATTTATTGAAGATGATATATAAGTTCTAAGACAAACAAATGAAGAAGATAATTATATCATTCCTTCTATTGATTAGTTGAAACTTCATGTGCTAGATAATTTATGTTTATGCTTTTGTTGTTGTACTAGACATTTAATAATGTTGTTGTCATTTTTTTTTGTAATTCCAAATATTATGCTTTGATTGCTTTCTTAATTTTTATGTATGATTTATAAATTATAATGTCGTGTCCGCGTCTTACCTGTATCCTGTATTTTTAAGAATTGACGTGTCCCGTATCCGTATCGTGTCGTATCCGTGTCGCCGTATCAGTATCGGTGCAACATAGTTCAAAACTGAAGCTTTCAGGAAATAAGCCTCATCTAGCTAAAATTCCTTTGAGCAGCAAGGTTCTTTAAGTTATTATTGTAAGAAGGTTTCAGTAATCTTTAGTTATATTTTCTTCACTATCCTGCGATGGAAAGTAGTTTCAAATGGTTCTTCAAGTCGCTTACTTTTCTAAAAAGTTTATTAGTAAATTTGGTGGCATTATCTCTCAGTGTCAGAAGAGGCTCAGACGCATCACAGTATTACATTTGTGTTACAAGTTCATGAAAAAGGAATGTGCAGTCAGCTCATAATGCTTTCCACAGGTTAGGGATTTTGAAAGGAATTGAATTTTGATCCTTTGACCGTTGCAAAGAGGCTACTTCCGTGATTCATTTATGACAGTCATATCCTAGTGGAGAAATCCTAGCAGTGCTCCAATAAATTTATAAAAGAAGCACAACAAAAAGGGCATCCGCATTATTTAATAACAAACATTTACATGATCGTCTTGCAATATACTAGTAAAAGGAATATTCTTAACATATCATACATGATCAAGAAAAGACATTCTAATAGGAGACAATAAAATAAATTCATACAGCCATAGCACTAACTCTTTCAAACATTAGTAACCGCAACAATCAACGGATCTATTTTGGCCACTTCTAAACAATAATGAATAAATAAAAACAAGAGCAGACCTCCCCCTAAAAAAAGAAAAAAAAAAAAAAAGGAAAGAAAACAGCTAGATATCATGAAACGCAAAGGTCATCAACAAGTCAACAAAGCACACCTCAAAAATAGGAGCAAGATCTTGCTCATCTCTGATTACAAGGAAGAGCAGCCAAGCCCACCTTTGCGCCTCAACTAACCATCCATCTATGTCATCATCATCAAACGACACAGTATCATCAGATGTAAGCCTATGCTGAATGAAGCATGAAGGGAAATATAAAAGATTCTTCAGAAGATATGTACGTCCGTCAATGAGCCCAATGTTTCTATCCTCATAACTTATTTTAGCTATCCATGCTTGCAGTATGCATCTTAAAGGACCTGTTTTACGAGCCGAGACGAAGCTTGTTAGGAACACAAAAGATCAGGAGAACACCTCAAACATAACAAGTCATGATGAAGAATATAAAGCTAAAGCAGAAACATAAAAAGCAAGATCTTTGTATTACAAGCACAATGTTTAAAGGATGAATTCAAGAAAACGAGATCCCGAATCATATTTTCATGCAGCTACAGCCACCCTCTCATCATTGGTCAAATATAGTACATGCCAAATACTAAAAGCACAAAAATTACCTAAATTCAAGATAAAGTTTTCCTAAATGAAGTTGAGCTCCTAAGGCTAACAACATTTTAATATATTGGATTCCATACTGGCCATGTAGGAAAAAATTGCAAAACCAAATTGTTATGATTTCCATGTTCTGCTTGTTGTTATTGCTTAATTAAATGATTAAATGGTATGTCTGCTGGTAATCTGTCAAACTTGAGCATAGCAACCTATGCAAACCAAGGCTTCGTTTAGTGATGCATGCTTGAGCCGCACTTAAAAATTGTGCTTAAGGACACCATAGAAATCAATTCCTATAGCTTGCAACCCCCCTCCCTTACAAGGCAGCTCATCCATCTTTGTGAGAGAATAGACTACTTTATTTCATATTAGCACAGCATTAACAAATGAAAACAAAATAAATATTCAAGTATACTACATGAATGGGAGAAATTCAACAAACTCCCAAACAACATAACAGATGAGAATTTCACCAAAGATAACAATATTTAAAAGTCAAAATATAATGGCAAGCCCAAGCAAGATTATGATAAAATTAGAAACAATAAAACTAAGGAACGAAAAAAAAATCAGTTTTACAAGAATAAACAGGTAAAAAATATCAACAAAATTTGTGATTGATATGTCATATTTAGCTTACCAGTTACATCAATAAATTCTCGGGGAAATGCTGAAAGAAAATGAAGAAACACCTCAAGAGAAAGATCATGGATATTTATCAACGAAGATGCAGCTTTAAGAATCTGCTCACAAACTGAATACATGGAGAAGTTAAGGACCCCCTTGCAGACATAGATATGTAATCAAATAAGTTAAATTATCGGCACAACTGAAAATTTGTAACTAAATTGAAAGAAAAACCTTGTAGGCGATAATTAGGATTGTAGTGCTGTTTAGTTCTTGAAATCAGAATTTTGAAAGCATCCAGCAACTCAACAGCACTACAGTGAACATCATTATTGGAAGTAGAATCAAACTGTTCAACCACGCAGTTTGCGCTTGAACATTTTTTTTCGTTTCTTTCATTTGCATTAGAATGACAAGAAGTTGAAGAAATACAGAAAGCCAGCGTCATCAATCCAGCTCGACCAAATGACTCATGTCTAGCAGCAGAAGCTAAGCTCCATGCAAGTGTTAAGCATTCACTGCAAAGGATTAGAAGAATTTTAGCAGGCAGGAAAACATGCTATACGGATCACAATACTCTCAAGAACAAGCATCACACTAAATCGAATTCTGAAAAACAATTTCAGGAGATGCAAAAGATTTATTCTGTCAAGCAGGACATAAAAGTATGTATTCAACCAGGTATAATTTGATCTCATGGAAAAAAAAATAGCATAAATCATCAAAAAGGTGTACTCGTCTGATATTGCAGGATGACCATAGTCTCAAGGAAGTGCAAAAAATACCAATATTACAGGAAGAATGATCAGGTAATCCATATTACTGACTACTAAATCCTAAACGGCCCACAAAAAGTCTAACATAATCAACTTTTTCTGGACTCAAAACTCGGAATATTCACATGATATTTTTCCCAGAAAAAAAAAAAAAAAAACTCACTTGATTAGATTTGCTGGATTAACAAAACTTTGGACCCAAGGGATTAGAAGCTAAAACACCAAAAACAAGTCTAATTTAACAAATAAAATAAAATGAATAATTAGTTGACTTAAAATCTTTGTTTTGAATCTCCAAAACCTTTAACAAAGTAGCAATAACCGCAGGACAAATGCACTCAATGCAACTTTGGTTTGCAATAATACATGCTCAGCCACATGATAATGCAGAGTAGGTAAAATCATGTTTTTTAATTAAATTTGTGTTTGCTGTTTATGTTTAACACACATTTGACAAAGTTTTCAACACAAACATTAAACATTTGGCAGATTACATGACTATAATCTGAATTAACCAAATTGGCAGATTACATGACTATAATCTGAATTAACCAAATTTGAGGATCATCAATTCATGATGTTATATGAAAAAGATCACACATGACATCCAACAATAGCTCAAATGAAGATAATCTTTATCCAGTCATAATCTTTACAAATAAAGAACAAAAGAAAGTGATGCCATGTGACAGTAGAGGGCATTTAACATGTTTACAGGTTTTCAGACTTTAGCTATCATTTGTGATTGTTTTAGAAGATACTCAAATTGATCTAAGAATAACTGATCATTCTACTGTATAGCTAATATGAACAAAATCATATTTGTCTTGAGATTTATGAATCGGAGTTCTTATTTTGTTTTAAATTTTAAATAGTTGGTCTAAAATTCTTTTAATGGATTGAAAAATATCGAAATTAAATTAATCGATATCCATTCAAAATTTTATAATAGTTAAAAATAAGATTATTTAGAATTTAAAGTATTAAATGAATTTATAGTAGAATCTTAAATGAATATAGTATTGGGTTTTAAACATGCATATTACCAATTTATAACTGAGCATATTATAGAACATTAATAGAGCTTATTCACAAGTTTCATAAGATAATGCTAATGATCATAAATAAATCAAGAAAACAATTCAAACTTGATCGATTAATTAATTAAATGATAATGAACAAGCTCTTATTGAGCTAAGTCATGAGTAATTTGTCAAGCATAGTTCATTTACTAAAGAAGTAAACTAATATTTCCATCATATAAACTCATTGCTTCTGTTTTCCACTTGACTATAGAAGTTTCTTTCATAGAATGTTCTTTATGTAAAGTTATGCGACGCCTTTTCATTATTGTCTATTATTGTCCATATTGTTATAAATAATAAATATAATGTCTGCCTCAAATTTTCATAAATGGCATGATCATCTTCTAAGTCATGTCTATGATTCCAATTCCATGTCACTAATAAACCTATGCACTCCAATTCACTTTAGAAATCATGATTTTTATACCTAAATGCTACATTATTGCTATTAATCTATAATGCAAATCATAGGTCCATACTCCCTTTGAAGTTATCAAATAAAAAGGATGTATATAAAAAAATGTTATATATATAAATGCTTGCATCTGTAAGTTGAAAGATGAAGCCCACCTCTAGAAATAGTTGAGGATGTTAATGGACCCGAGCACTAATTACTCCAACATTTCCACCAAAAACAATAGTAGGTGTAGAAGTTATGCCTTATTGGGCCACCGGGAATGTATTGGCCATGGTGCGTTGTGTGCCTTATCACCATAAAAAATAACAAGCATAAGAGTTGTGCTTCGCTAGTTATAAATCTCAACTTCTTTGCATGAATGCTCAACAAAATCAAAATTCATATTGCTTATTACTTCCCATTCTTTTTGTTCACTATTACATACATAGAACTTAGAAATATATATTGAATTATTAATATAACTTGCCTCAATATATGTTGATAACATTTTTAGTAAGAAAAGCATTACAATGCTACTGGAGGCTAGGGCAACTATGTAAAGAAGGTGTGGTCATATTTATGTATGATGAAGTTTTACGATCTAGTATTTGAAATGATTGCAAGTAAAAAGGATATCACTATACCCGGAATGTTAGATGGCATTAAATTGATGAATGGATACTATAATTATGTTTTGGATTGACATGCTCTTACTTCAACTCATATAAAGTGCCTTAGTAAAAGTATCCCCATCGTAGCCTTTCTCGCATTATATTGCAAAAATTACTAATAACAGTATATCAAGGAATAGCTTAGACAATCCCATAATCAAGGTCATCAATTCCCACCTTGACCATTCATATGAGCTCTCCGGAAGAATTCTAATAATGCAGTTGTTTCCAATATTCATTTAGGCCAGCCCATGCATATATAGGTTCACTTGCAATATTTCACCCAAACAATTAAGTACGACCCACTAGTTTTAATTTAACATATATAAGTTCAAAATCGAATGATTGGTAATCTTGAGAGAGTCCGAGATTATCAACCCTCTTTGAAAATTTCACAAGATAATACTTCCATTAAATGTAACAATCCAATTTAAATCATCATGATAGTTATGCCGTGTTTATATAGAACCATAACTTATCCAATTTCATTAAAGTTGTGCGCTTTTTTTTTTTTTTTTTTTTTTTGAAAAAAACATTATGTCCAACTTTTAGAAGACATGATATGTAATCATAAGCTTTAACACGAATTAAGAAACTAGGACAACAAATGCAACTTAAAATGAGATCACAATAAAAATACAAAAAAATGCCCATCCAATGTTTACTAATTATGAACTTCAGGAAACAAATCACATTTAACGTAAAAATAATAACACGTTTCTATCATTCCAAATAATAATGTAACAGTTGACAAACTTTGAAATTCCAATATAAAAATAATAAATAAATTTTGAATTTCAGTGACATTTGAAATTCACATAACAAAAAAATGAATCTGGCATCTATCACACTTGAAAACATTTCATACATGCACACATCATCCAATGAATAAATTTAAAGCAAGAACAATGATTAAAAATCACCGAAAAAGAAGATTCAAGCCTCGCATTGGCACAAGCAAACTCACCCCCAGAAGTAATCATTAACACCTACGAAGCACAAATTCAATCAACCAACACACGCAAGAGTTGATGAAAATTTAAATTTTATTTCAATAAGCAATATTCAATAATTTGAGCATATCTCGAGAGTTATGAAGATCCAAAATAATTAATTCCTACGAAATCTTGAAGATATGCTGCAAAATGACAAGCACTAATTTCGAGCACTTAAATAGTATGAATTAGATTTAGGTTTCAAAATTTTCATATAATTCATCCATAAAAGGAAAAAAACAATAGGCAACAAGGCAATGTACCAAACGGCGGCAATTTCAGGACAAAAAGCAAAGCAATAATTAATGGCTCAAGGCTACATACCTATAGCAATTAGCATTTGGAAGGCAGTTTCGAAACTGTAGCAAATAAATGGCCATGAAAGGAAACACGAGACTAGCAAACTCCGGAACAAAAGTAAACAGCACATCCCTAAAAAGCATCCGAAACTAGTTTCCAGACTTGCATCAATTATGATATATGCTTGGAAGTGGAATCATATAGGGTTGTTTGGTTGCAAGTACTACTGGTGTAAAATAAATGCAGAAATGTTTATATTTCTAATGTTTGGTTGAAAGAAAAGAAAGAGAGAAGAAAAATAGCATTGTCTTTAGAATTCCCCTGACATTGACAAATTCCAAAAACATAGCTGCTAGTTAGTTGCCCATTGCTGCCGCCACCGCGTTATAACATAAATTAAATTTAGGTCAAACTAAAAACCAAAAAATAATATCCTGATTTTTTCCTTTACTCAACCACAAAACTCAAAAAAAAAAAATGCACCATATTTACTTTCCACTCTGCATTCATTTTCAATAAAATAAACAATCACATACAACAACAACAACATCAAGCCTTTATCCCACTACGTGGGGTTGGCTACATGAATCATTTTTCTCCATTGTCCTAATAAAGGTCAAATTCTCGTTTAAATCTAATAAAGAAAGGTCATTCCTAATATTTTCTAACCAAGTAATTTTAGGTCTGCCTCTACCTTTCTTAACATAAGTCGAATCTAATACATTTACTCTCCTAACCGGGTCATTGGAAGGCCGCCGTTTTATGTGACCAAACAATCTAAGGCAACTCTCTCTAATCTTATCTTCTACTGGAGCTACTCCAACCTTTTCACGTATATGCTCATTTCGTATCCTATCTCTAAGGGTAAAGCCACTCATCCACCTGAGCATCCTCATCTCTGCCACACTTAACTTATTATTATGCTTCTCTTTTAATGGCCAACATTCAGCACTATAAAGCATTGCAGGCCTCACTACCATCTTATAGAATTTCCCTTAAGTTTGAGGGGTACTTTTCTATCACACAACAAGCCCGATGCATTCCTCCACTTCAACCATCCAACTTGAATTCTGCGGATAATATCTCCATCAATTTCATCATCACTCTAAACAATAGATCCAATATATCTAAAACGTGTACTATTATTAATGACTTGATCGCCCAAAGTCACAATCCCCTCACTAGGTCTATTACTACTAAAATTACACTCCATATATTCCGTTTTAGATCTACTCAAGCGAAAACCTTTAGTCTCTAATGTTGACCTCCATAATTCAAGTTTACTTTCAACTCCCTCTCTAGTCTTATCAACAAGAAGAATATCATCAGCAAAAAGCATACACCAAGATACATCCTCTTGCAAATGTCTAGTGAGAACATCCATGACTAAAGCAAAAAGATATGGGCTTAAGGCTGATCCTTGATGTAACCCAATCGAAATAGGGAAATACTTGGTCAAACCACCTTGTGTTTGAACACAAGTAATAGCTCCTGCATACATATCTTTAATGATTTGAATACAAGCATTATTAACTCCTTTCTTTTCAAGAACTCTCCATAGCACTTCTCTTGGAACTTTATCATATGCTTTTTCTAAATCAATAAAAATCATATGTAGATCCTCCTTATTTTCTCTATATTTCTCCATCAAACCTCTTAATAAATGTATCGCTTCCATAGTCGACCTACCCGGCATGAATCCAAATTGATTTTGAGAAAGAACATAAAAATCTACCAATTCCAACATATAGAAATCAAACAAAGAGGTAGAATCTTCAAAATGTATACAACACAATAGAAGTTTTGCTCAATCAACTAGCTAAGTTTCCATAAGATAATTGAAACTGTTAGACCATTTTCTTATAATAGGTTTCATATGATATTTACTAATGTGAGAAAAGAATAATAATATAAAAAACGTCTCATAGAAGCATTAAATCAGGTGAACCAAAAAGGCATTCAACTGTGTTGCTATTATCATAACCAAGAACAGAAAAATGATGCTAAACTCCATAATTTTACTATTTCAAATAAAAAATTGCCAAAAGAAGTGAAATAGTGCACCTTACAGATAACCCACAAGAAAATCTATTAAAATACTTGGATGCGCCTTTTATTGCTCTGGACATATAAATGCCTTTAAGACCTGAAAAGGATGAATAGAAATTAAAATAGAAAGCAATAAGCTCATTAGAGCTCAAAACATCTGGAGGAAAAAAGTTTCATAAAGTATATTGTTAATATATTAGCAAATTGAGCAAGCAATAAGAAGTTTTTATCAGAGAGCATGAGATATGAGGATCTTACAAAAACGACTTACAACTTTATAATAGACGATACAGGCACCAATATGTAGTTTTTGGTTCAAGCCCTTACCATGGTGGGGGTCGAATAAACCATTAAAAATATCATCATAATCATCATCTTTAACATTATCTCAACTATTTATGGTCCGCTTTAAATTACTAAAATATTATTTAAATAAAATCAAATATCAAAACTCATGAAAAGGATGCTACTGGAAAAATTACTAAAACATGAATAATCAAACCATGCATATCAATAAGATGTACTCATTTGGAAACTAGTACAAATTGTTGAACAAGAAAAATATGGCAAGCAGCTCATGTCATGCAAACAGAGTGGAGAAACAAAAAAGAGAGGGGAGAAGAAAAAGAAGAACTAGATGGAAAGAGAAACAGAAAACTCAGACATGAGGGAAGAAGAACTAAATAAGTTAGGAACTTCAGCCATAAATCAAAGAAAACAATCATATTCATATAAATAGGGATAGCCAAATAAGATATAAAACAAAATATAAATAAATTCAAATTCAAATGTAAACTTATGCCAATAATTATCCAAAATGATAATTTTACAAAAAAATGTTAGAATAATTATAAACTAATCAATCAAGTATCAATTTCCATAAAGCTGAGAAAACTTTACCCCAAAGATTTGTAATGTGCTGGAAGATATACGGAACGTCACTAACTGTTCTGATATTTTGCAATATTTATCTTGATGTGGAACAACACAAAGTAGAGAGATGAAGTGTGCGAAGAATGAGAGGGAGAGACAGAGAGATAGGGAACTCAAAGTAAAGCAGGGGCAGATATTAGGAATTTCAGCTATAATTTTATGCATCTAATCGATGATTTACTACAAATCAAGCTATCCTCTTTACAGAAAAATGGATAACGAGAAAAGACCTAAAATCAAACCTATTATGATTCAAATTCAAATACAAACTAATCCTAATAATTATCCAAAAGGTGACGTCAAATAAAATAGATGTTGAAATAAATCAAAATCTATCGTCAGAAAACTTACTCCCAAGAATTGTAACGTTGTTGAAGGAGATACGGAAGCTCACAAATTGTATTGATATTTTGCAATATTTATTCTTTTAAAAATCATATCACATAATGAAAAACATATCCAACAGTGAAGAAACGAAGTGGAGAAATAATCAAAATCATCATTAACAATAAAAGAATCTTGGCATAAATCCTCTAAAACATCAACCAAACTCAAAAAGGGATTTTTGGTAGCATAAAAGTCATAAAGCATTTTATTGAATTGACTGAAAAATAACTAACCTATCTATTGTTTATTCCGAAGAAAAGGTTTTGTTCATAATTAATATGGAAACTCTTCAATCTTCATGCCCTTCAAGGATTGTCGATTAGCATATTGATAGTTAAGTTCTTTTTCAAACCTTGTTATCTCTTTCTGTGATATTGTTGTGATGCGCATGTAGTCAGAATGCACCTCGCAAAAGTCAATTATTTCTTTCTTCTTTTGATTAATGCAATAGAGATCATCAAGCAACTCTTCAAAATATTACATCAAATTTAAATCAAAATATGTTTATATTGTTAATATGGAAATATTAGATGCAAAATAAGGAAAACGAATTCAAATCACTTGTAAGAGGAATGATCACCTCAGTTGGTGAAAGAGATTGCTTGAACGATGAATTGTGATGTTGGACCACCCCACGGGAGAAGTATTTAATGATAAACTCTATTGTGGCATAATCAGGCAAGGAAGGGTAAGTGATTCATGAGGGAAAAGGCATCAGATGTGGGTGCGATCAAGATCAATGGCATTTCAGGGATGGGTTTGTAGTGGTGGTTAAGCAGTTCGATGCGGAATTATCATATGAACAAAAAAGGAAGGTATACCTTTGAGGGATCAGGCTAGAAGGTCGATCGAAGAGGCATGGTTAGCTAAGGAGATGAGATAAAAGTTGAAAAATATCCTATAAATAAGTTGATGCAGAAGGATCCCAAAAATCTTTTAGAATGCTGCCAAGTCATTTATAAGTCTCATGAGAACTACAGGAAGTTCCAAACCCGCTAAGTCCAAGATGTTCCAAGCAAGCTCAATGATGGAAGTCAATCTTGCATAAAGCAGTAAGATCCAAAATTTGTCACAGATTAGCTTTTCAGGAAGAATTAAACAACAAAAGCTCAAAAAAAAAAGTCCCCAGTCAAGCATAGAAGTAACAAAGTATTTTCAACCCTTGTTGCCTCTTTTCAAGTTTATTTTACGATGCATACTAACTAAGAATGCTTCAAATAAAGGTAATTGTAGTTCCAACAAGTATATAAGATATCATAAAGCGAAGCTCCATAATAATCAAGAAAAGTTACATAAAAATGTTATATCATTGTTAATGTCCATAGATAATATAAATATTGCAGAAAAGAGAATGATCGCTTCGAACAGAGTTTGATACCAAGAGAGGATACATGAATGGCATTTGTGGTTAAGGAACCTTGTGTGTGGATGCTTCAATAATGCAATCAAGTGTATGTTCAACGATGCAATGCAAATAGGAGACGCAAGAGAGGGACCTTGTGAATGAAAGTCGGATCATCTGCGGGCGGGATCAAGTTTAATGGTAAGGCAAGGATGGGTTTGCAATAATGGGTAAGCAGCATTGTTTAAAATTGCGCAATATGAGGCTCATCTTGAGGCCCGCCTTAGCGCAATTCCAGTAAAAAACGCCTCGAGGCTTACGCCTTGAGCTTTTTCTATGAGGCTTACGCTTCATCTTGGATGAGGCCCGCCTTAAGGCACGCCTCGCCTCGTTGGCATTAGTCGTACGCTTCTCTATTTATAAATTTTTTATTTAAAACTTACCTAAATCCTATACAAAAGCCCCCAAAAAATCATGTCTTCTTCCACCCCCAAGCCGCAGCAACTTCCTCTGAATTGCCTCGACCTCCAACCCACTACCTTCAACGTAGCCTCCACCATCGTAGCCGCTGCAAGGGATCAATAGAAAGCCGCATGCCACCACCATCTCTTAAAATTTGGGAGTATTATATTTATGTTAATGATAAACATTTATGAAAGATGAATATGATTTAAATAGATGAAGAAGAAGAGATTGAGAGGTATTTGATCCTACAAGATGAGACAGGGAAGAGAATAATTTGTTATGACGGTGACTCAAATAAAAATCCTAGTACATATGATTTTTGAGTTGTTGCCAATTATTTTAGCTTTCTCTAGTAATTAAACGTAGATGACTAAGCAACTGAGAAAGTAAAAAAACTATAGTTAAACTTGATGTTATAAGATACTTTTATGCAATTCGTATATTTTATATTATTTTGTTCATGTAATATTTGGATTTCAATTCTATTTCATATCATTTTTCATTTAACATTTTACATCTTATACAATTTTTTGTTTTATATGTATGTAAATTTGTTACTTCAAAGTTCAATAGAAAGTTAATATGTCATCATTTAATATATTGTTTGGATATTATATAAAAAAAATAACTTTTAACTTTTATTTTTATTTTACGCAATTTTTAGATTTTGATGCTTACGTCTCGCCTCACGAACGAAAAACGCCTCCATACCCAATTGCGCAATTGTAAACGTTGGTAAGCAGATAAAAAGAATGTCAATCAAGGAATACAGCAAAGGTGCACAACAAAGGAATGAGCTGGTGAAGTAGATTGGCAAGGATGCGGTTGGCAAAGGAGATGAGGTCATGGTGGTCATGGTGGGAATACAAAATACAGGCAATTGAAGTTGTAGGATGAGTAAGCTTGGCAATGTGGTAAACGCATATAGGGTAAAGCTCCGTTGCCAAATTTGTTGCAAGGAAAGGAGAGAAACAAAGAAGATCTGACAGAAGAATGAAACGGTGAAAGAAATTAGAGGAGAAAGAAACTCGGAACTTAAGCCATAATTTCATTCTTTTCATAAAAGATTTATTACAAAGCATTTGCCCTAAATATATAAGTAGGGATAACAAGATAAGATTTAAAATCAGATTATGCAAATTCAAAACAAATCTTATCCTAATAATCATCCAAAGGATAATTTTACATAAAGCAAAAGGCAAATAAATCGAAACCTAATCTAACCAACATCATCATGTAAAAAATATGGCTAACCAACTTAACAATATGTTGATATATGGACTAACATGAAGTAAGGACCTAGTAGGCTATCACACTTCACAAAACACTAAAACAAAATAAATAACTAAAAATGTTTTCTGGCATGCTAAAGTAGGAAGCAAATGATACCATTGCAACTCATAAGCAAAAGCACAACCAAAAGATACTTTTAATCAAGAAGAGCATCACAACTCTCTACATTTGTACTGCTAAACTAGAAATGGCAAAGAAAGAATAAGAATCAATGCCATAATATATTTATGAAGTCAATTAGTTATAGGTGCACATAAAGAAATCCTCAAAGGCTACTAAAAATTATAAAGCCAAGAATACAAGTGCAATGCGATTGTTTAAAAGAATGATCTCAAAAATTGAAGGCTGCACAAATAAACAAAATGATAATATGCCATAAGAGTCATTGCAATGCTAGAATATTTTTTCACAATAAATGAGGCTTCAAAATAATAAATTGTTTATACATTTTTAATAAAATTAATAGAATAATATATAATGAAAATTATTACCAAAAGTTTTATCATCTAAAAATTTTGGAATAAATGATTTTCTGCAGATAATTTTTTGGAAAAAATGATTATTTACAGATCTTTCTAACTAAAAAAGTTCAAAAAAAAAAAAGAAGTCAAATACTATCTTCAAAATACAACTTATAAATCTATTATTAGAACCCTTATCAAATATTTTCAAATCTTACTCATGCATCATGTATATTATTAATATGGGGATCAATCCAGTAGGTGAGAAATCAGATCGCCTATGATTATGATTTGGGTATCATATCATGGAAGATCAAAAATTCATATTTTGCGTTTAAAGGACTAATTCTCCATGAAATTAGTACAAAAGTGACTCGCACATCACATCATTGAGATAAAAAAGAATGTCTTCAATGTTCTTAAGTGTGATCAAATCATCAATTGTACATCGAACAATAGAGATCAAAGCCAATGAAGTTGGACCATTGGATCAAAATTCGATAAATGACAAGATAGGATGAGTTTGAATTTCTAAAATTTAGATAAACTTGCTTTTGAATTTGTAATCCAAACTTAGGATTAATTTACACTAGAATTATCTTTTTTTTTTCTGGTTGAGCAATCTACATTGTAAATATATCTATGATTTCCTCCTATGATGAAGGTAGATTATTTATGGGTTATATCAATCTTGTTATAATTTTCTATTTTAATGCTTGAATTCTACCAAAAAAGAAGAAATCTCATAATTAATTTTCATTTTTGTTCTTCTTATACCCTCTGTTGAATTGTACAACCCGGAAAGGCTCAATTTTGATTCTTGTGGGAAAAACTGAGGACAAGCAGACCACTAATCGCTGATCTCTTGTAATATGGAGGTGTTTTCTCCCCTCCACTAATCAACTGCTGATGTCTTTTGATTGCCTTATTGGTGACTATATCTTGCATTGTCGTTGGCTTAAACTTGCTTTTCATTGTTGCCTTGCAAATGTAGTTACCTATTGTCATTGCTCTATTTCTTATTACATTGTGATTATGTTATTGTGAACTACGGTGCTTCACAACAATCTAGACAGTTCAAACAATCATGTTTTTGATGTTTTCACACAACAACAAAATCAAAAAAAGAAAGTTATGTACAACAAAGAGGAAACTAAATTAATAAATCTTAATCTTTAGATTAAGTTGGTATGAGAGCATGATACTTGGTGCATGGTACAAACAAAAAATATATATAATGATTAGGGAAAATTGGTTGTTGTCTTGGAGAAGCATCAAAAGTTAGAAAAAAGTTACAAAATCAAGAAAAATAAAGAACGCCAACCAATGGATACATTGATTCTATACCAAATCAAATGAACAAATGGCTAAACTGAAGAAGCTGATGACCACCATAATGGAGTAGAAGAGGATGTAAACCAGCGCTGCTTAGACTAGTGGGCCAAATCCAAATCCTATTCCTATTCTCCCATGCCAGATGCATACATGATTGGAGAAGATGAATATGAAGATATGCCTACCAATCATGAAGGATGCAACTACTCAAAGCAGACGATAGTGGAGATTCCCTCTTATGATGGTGCAATTAATGTCAAGAAGCTAGATGTATGGATCAACGAGTTGGAGACTTGTTTCTTGCATGAGTATAGCACCAAAGACAAGGTTGCCTTAGCTCGACTAAAGTTAATCCATTATGCCTTCGAGTGCTACAATGCTCATATGAAGATGAACATCCATCAGGAGCTAACTTAGGGAAAGTTCAAGCAGTTGATGCTTCAAGAATTCTATCCAAACAAAAATGTGGAAGTTTGGTGAAAGAAGTGTCATAATGTGAGATGGTGTCAAAGGCAATCTATGTCAGAAAATACTACAAAGTTCTAACATCGGGTGAGTATTTTGAGAGTAAATCGTCGGGATGGACAAACTTTCAAGTGCACCTTAGGGCTTTATTTGCAAATTGCAAATTAACTCTGCTTATGATGACAATGGCCATTGAGTGCAAGAACCAAGGCAAGAAAGAGAAGTCTAGAACAGCACAAAGAAAGAATTCAACTTCACAAAGAATAAAAAGAAAGGCAAAAACAAAGGCAATGCTTCAAAATTTCCTTCCACCTCTAAGACAAACATTGCAAGGAAGTTTAGTGATCACTGCTAAATACATGACCATATTAGCGAAAAATGTTAGAGAAAAATGTTAGAACGTGCATCACGAATTCTTCCCTGGAAAAGTAAAAGAATGATGAGAGAAAAAATATAATGGTTGACGTTACAGACAAAATTGTGCTTAATCCAATAGACAAGATGAACTCATACTTATATATGATGGTTACGCCCAAGGATATAGTGGTGGGTCGGCACCAAATTTGGACACACAAGAATAATTATTCACTCTAACAATAAAAGTCAAGAAATAAGAGATCAGAATTGTCATCAACATTGGCAACCAAAATAACCTCATTTCTGTAAATCAAATGCAAAAGTTGGGATTGAACGCCATATCTCACCCACACCCCTTTCCTTTAAGCGGGATTCAAAAAGGATATGAGAGATTTGATAGCTAATATCAGACACTTTTCAATCACTATGAACAATAGTGATGAGATATTGAGCAAGGTGATTGCACTTGGCGTTTGTTAAGTGCTTTACAGTTTATACCTACAACATAGCCATGCAATGCTCTATCGTCATCCCCTACCAGTGTTAGATGACTAGATAAGGGAAGAAGTACTAACTGATGATGCTATGGTAAACCTACAATGGATGTTGTATAGGAAAGACATGCACGTAAACTAATAAATATTGTGCAATATTTCTACTTTTGATAATCAGGTTCTAGTAAATTATGTTGTAAATCACCCATGGTGATGGTTTCAATGAAGGATGGCACATAGAGCCTGATGCTAACTATCGTGCTCTTGGTAAACAAACAATAAAGAGTTATTAATAATCAGCGAGCATCAACGACTATTAGATCAACTCGAAAGTGTTTATCATCAAGTACGCATCAATTAGATATATATAAGTAAGACGGATTTCAAATTCCATACAAGGAGTCTACCAATGATTGATCATGTCATTCGAACTTTATAATGAGCAAGCTACATTCATGAGGCTAATGAATGATGTTTTGCAGTCATATTTGTATGGCTTCGTTATTATATATTTAGATGATATCTCAGTCTTCAACAGATCAAAGGAAGGTCACCTTGAGCATTTGAAGGTGTTCCATCTACTGCAACCTCCATCTCACCGAAAAAAAAAGTGTAAATTCATCAAAAAGTCCCTCTACTTAGCAGTTGAGGTGGGCAATAGGGATGTCAAGATCGATCTTGAAAAGGAGAAAGCAATCAAGGAGAGGCCCATACATTAAATTCAAAAATATAAAAATATAGCACCTTAAAATAAAGAAGCCTAACTATCCTAATATAATTATTATCATCAGCTCAACCTCTTGGATTGGAACTCAGATTTTCTTCTATCCAACTAAAGCACAACCAGTATCACATGTTAGAAAGTATGGAAAGAAAAAAAAAAGAGAAAATAGTGTCGCGTAAAATAGAATAAGAAGCATGTTTAAAGGTGATAATAATCTTCAAGGATGAAAAATCATCACAATCCCTATTGCTAGGCATAATCTCTACCACCCTTATAACTTGATTAAAAATTATAATAGAAGCACTTTTCGCATAAATGCAAATAATAATTACTAAGTTTGGAGTATTTACCAAAATCTTTGTGATGAACAACATCATTTAAACCCCGAACCAATGGACCAAGTATGAAACTTCTAGGCACTTTATGTGCGAGATTTGCATACCTATCCCAATCAATGTCCAAAAATGATTCCATGATTAAGCATCGCACTGCAAAATAGCGATTCAAATAAAGATTTAAAACCAGAAAATTGAACAAGAACTAAACACACTAAATGGAAATGAATTAGCAAGACCTAGCACAAAGGAAAAAAAACAGATAAAGACCTTGAGGATTTTCATGAAAAAATCCACGCTCCCATAACACAACTAACCAGCTTAAAAGTCCATCTAAAGTTTCCATCTGAGCGTAATAAACACTTAAGGTTGTAGAAATATTGTCATTGTTCAGTGGGCAAGACTGAATTAATAATGAAACCTGACAAAAAATCAATGTTAATGTCCCTTGCACATGTTGATGCAAGCTAGGTACTAAAATCAAGTAGGAGAACACAAGGAATGCAAACTAAGACACTTTCTTTCAATAAAACATAAACACCAAGCAATGTACACTTAGTGGGAAACAAAGATGGAAAAAAGGTTAGGAAGACTCACAATATAGAAAAAGAAATAAAACATATAAATTAAAATACTCTCATAACAACCACGAATGATCACCTCACATGCAAAACACAAACTAGGGAAGGTGTTCAAAGGAAAGGACAAACCAGAGATCCACCATAGAAAGTTATGATCCAGTACAAGTCTATGCTCCTCCAGCAAATACCAATAAAACAGAACACAACACCACCTTACAATTTATGGTATTTAAAGAAAATAGATACATGTGGAAGGAAAACCATGGAGAGAAGAAAAAGAAAGTAGAACAAGAGGAATAAATAGGGTTTAGGGAGAAGACAGCTCGCAAGCTAAGAAGAAACCCTCATATTTATATTTTTCTCACACCATCAACAACTTCTCATAATAAAACTCAGCCACTATTTATAAGAGAAAGGAGGGGAAAAGGCATTTATTAACTCATAAATGAGCCTCCAAAACAACCAATAAGAACCACCCAACACAACCCTGAAAAGAGAAACCCAAAGCATCCTGCATAGGAAACATCAAAGAGAATAGCCAGTAAGGAAAAATAGTAGACATCAAGGAAAACCAGTAGATAACAAGGAAAACCAGCATACAACAGAGAAAAAATAGCAGACAGCAGGGAGAAATAGCATACAGCATGAGCAAGGAAATAAGATCAGCACAACAGGAAGGTAATGGAGTGAACTGACCTAAGAGCACCTAACCCAATATAATCACAAGTTGTTTTTCATCATAGGGCAATACAAAATAAAATTGAATAACATCCAATAACACAAGAAAATTTATAAAAAAAAAAAAAACATAAAATGATAATTCTTGACTGTATCACATGTCATCTGAAAACAAATTATACTATTGGATTTATATCGCAAGAACTACAATAATAACAAATATGGTGGTTCATATCCCAAAGATTTATATATGCACCTCATCCAAGGTAAAGAATTTCTCATCTCAAATAACTCGTGGTATGTGTTAACCAATATATAAGGCTCCATGCAATGTACAATCAGCACAAAAGCTCTTGTTCAAAGTGAAAATGATAATACAGTCCTCAAGTCTGACCTGGTGAGTCCAGGCAGCCTCAACCAAATGTGTGCCATACTCTTCAAGCGTTTCATAAAGCAGCACAAAAACCTTCCATCTTTCTACACCATTCAAACAAATTCCATCAAGATGGCAGACTTCTCTAATACCCATAGATTTAGCTTCCTTTTCAGCCCACTTTTTCCTCTTTGTCGGACCATCATGTGATGTGTTCCCATCTTGAGACATGATGGCAACTTTTTTGGCATCTGCAGCCGGTTGTAGAGAGTTAGAAAAGCATTGATCGTTTCTGCTTAAAAAAGAGGAAGAATTATAGTTCATCAGTGATTTCAAAATATACAATGCCATCTTCCTCACTGAAGAATCTTTATCTACCTGAAAGAGCAAGTATATGGAGAAAAAAATGTAAATGTTTACAGCTCTTAATTAAAACAATGATCAATTACACAAGCTTATCATGGACAAAGGCACGAATCAGTATACCAATCCTATTTGTACTTGTTTCCAAAGCATTTCATTGCCTCTAAAATCAAATTCTTCATCAATGTTAATCTCTGCAAACTTTTCTTGACCATCTGATTCACAGAATGACGAGAAGTATGATGAAAGTATCCGGTATGCATCTCTCCGTTCTAAATGGCCAAGTTGAAACAGAGAAGAGCAACAATTCCACATTTTCTCCAGGAAATGTGCCCTGCAAATTTAAATTGAACAACTACAATTTAAAAATTTTTAATTAAAACAAAGCTAGAAATATCATATCCCAACAAATACAATAAAGGACAGCTTTGTCCCTACCTTGATATTGAGCATTGGGGTTCATGCTCCAAAATTTTAAATGCCGAAAAAACATTAAGAGACCTTAAGACAATAGGAAGAATCAAATGAATGGCATGCAGACGATCCTCTGCAGACAACATGAGCAACCAAAGAGCTAAGTTCGACAGCTTCCCAGTCAGATTCACAATGAAAACATCCAAAGAACTTGAAAATTTGAGTATCTTCTGCTCTGATGTTGCAATCCCCCTCCAACTTTTCAAAGAAAAATCTAGCAAAGATGTAAGAACTTGTAATGCAGTCTTCCCTGGTAGAGTCCCCAGAGGTTCAGAAGAGCTTTCAGTAGACTGCTTATCTGCATCCATATCATCCTTCGATATTGTTCCAATACTGAAGCAAACTGAACTCAGACAAAAAGGCACCAGAGTTTTGCCAATAAGCTCCCAGGATCCAGTTTCAAAGACCAAATGATACACCAATTCCTCCGTCTGACAAGAAGAAATCGCAATATAGTGAGTAATTACAACGCTGAGTACCATGGACAAAAAATTGAATGTGAAACAACTCTAGAACAGGAAATGCCTCGTTCAGCAATTCAGAGTTACTTGGGTCTATAACTTTCAGAAGCGGGATGAAGGACGTCGAAATAAACTGGTTCATAACATCGGATTGAGCTCCTGAGATTGTTGGTAACTAAGATTGAATACAGATCACAGAAGCCCAAAAAAAATAAAAACTTGAAGTAGAACTCACGATCTTTCTTTATAATATGACAGAGCGCACTGGTGTGGCATAGTATGTAATTTGATTGATGAGCCTGTAAATGCTCAAATAATCAACTGAGTACTCGACGAATTCATTTAAAAAAAGAAAGGGACTTCTTTTTCGTACCTCGCCGAAGTCAGTAAAGGATTGGAGAAGGAAAGAGAGTAGATTGGCAACGGATACGACGGATGAGGCAAGGACGCAATCGATAATGGCGGGAACTGATGCAGGAGGGACGAAGGAGAAGCTTTTCACCAGCGACTCAAGGTGGGTGGCAGGGTGGACGGACCCCATATAGGCTGAATCTTCCGTAACTTTTCTCCTTCCCGCGGTTTCTTCTTTAGAGAACAGCGAGAATGAAGAACCCTAGCCTTGGAAATAAGTGACTTATTTTTTTGGGAAAAGTTAAGTGACTTTTCATAAGACAAATTTTAAAAATAGTTATCTTAATTAATTCTAGCTTAATCATTCTTTCAAAAAAATTTAAAATCAGGCATAGCCATTGATCAGGCCAGAGCAACCGGAGAATTTATTCTGTGATGAGTCCGAACTAAAAGAATAATCCACATATATGAATATACATATTATGTATATATTTATATATAATGTGTATAAGTGTCCATATTGTGTATATATGGCATGCACACTTACAATCCAGAGTTCCAGACTATTCTTCCAGTCCAAACTCAACACAAAATAATTTTTCTAGCAAGAGATTATTATGTGCGGAGTGCGAACGGAGAGAATCGTCCGCACAAGCCTTATTCCGCGCTAGGTACCGCCACTCGGTACCGCTGAGTACTGCAAGATATTCATATTTGTGCGGACGATGCATACTCCGCACCTAATTGAATTAATTGTAATAAATTTAAAATTTATTTTAATGTAATTTATATTAAAATATTTTAGCATAAATTTTATTTTAATTACAATAAAATGATATAATAGTTATATTTAAAAAAAAATTCAGATCTTGATGCTGAAGGAGAAAGGTTGTCTATTTCTCTCCAAGGAGCATAATTATACAGTTGGCTTCTTCCAATTGCTACGTTGGCCGATTGCAAGCATGCTCGGGTTGAGATCGGGTAACTCGGAATTGACCAGCATTTAAACGGGTTGCCCTCAACTAGACTCAATTTTGTAAATTGGTCAAAACTTCATATCAAGACTGACCCCGTCGGGTTATCGGGTTGACCCAACCCAAAATTGTCAACCCGGATTTTTCAGGTCAAGTAAGGACGCACAAGTGCGTGCAGGCAAAGGGGTCACAAGTAAGCGATCAAGGGTGTGGGAGCAGGGGTGGGTGCGAACGCATGCATGGAACGGCGGGAGGGCGAGCGCGTCCGACAACTAGTGTTGTCGCGAGCATGGGTGCATTAGGTCGCGTGTGGAATCGGGTTAATTGGGGTTACCTTCAGGTTTTAGGGTCAACCTGAACTTGACTCGATTTAAAAAATGGATCAAAATATTTAACTCGAACCTAATACGTATGGCAAATAAATTGACTCGAACCATGATTTTTTTTTTTTTTTTTTTTTGTCAAATTCAAGTCAAGTTTCATGTTGGGTTAAATATTTACATGAACCCGAAATTTTTCAAGAAATATACTTTAATCCTCAAAGAAAATGAAATAAATGTAACATATGACATTTAGGTTGTTGGAGATCCAAGAGAATAAGTGGTTAGCTTTTGGTGTCCTTTAAGAGAAGATGAAAATAATTTGCCAGAACTCGAATATCAGGTTGACTTTCTTATATTTAATAATCAATTCAAATGGCTCTTTCAGTATGATTAATATCATATTTGATCTCTGATATCACTTTTGACATGATTCAGCCCGAAAACTTGAATTAATGAGGTGGGAACATATAATCATACGATAAATAAATTTCTCTCAATAACATAAAACAAATAATATATACTAACACCTAACATATAATTGAAGAGCCACCAAAACACATGTTTCAATTTGAATATATAATAATTCAAGTTTACATATTATGATTTGATCCTCTTCTTATATAGACAAATTATTCTCTTTCAGCAGTATTGTTCACTAGAGATCCAATTTTTTTTCATTTAACATATACATATTTTAAAATATTTTAATAATTTACTTATATATGAATATTAATGTAAGTTTATTACAGAAAGAGGTGTTGGATAGAGAGTCGACCGCTGTTAAATTCATAGTCATACCCACAGGCGACAGAAGAGCAACAATGAGTTAATGAGTGAACAAAGAAAGGCTACGTAAGTATACAAGTTTAATATATATATATATTTTTATCTCATGTGTGAATTGCTTAATTTTTTATTAAATTGTATAGGATGAGTATACACGGCTTCGAGAGAGCCATGTAGGAGCAGCTAAGGATTATTCTGGTGGATCAGCATAATATTCTGACTGCCACATTTGGTCGCAAGCGATAGGAGGAATGCAATACAGTAGACATAGGCAGATTTACCAAGGACTCAGTGTGGGCAAATGCCTACCCAAAAAAAATTAAAAAAAAATAATAATAATAGATAGGCAATTTTGAAATATTTTGGATATTTTGTCTCCCCTCAAAATTATTTTTTACCCTAATTTTATCAATTATAAGCATCTCTGTCCATCCCTTACAAAAAAAAAAAATTTTTGCCCACCATGAAAAAAGATGTTAGATTCGCCCCTAAGTAGACTTTATGGCTTAGGCTCCGATTCCAAGCCTACACATACAAGAGGTAGGCATCTAGTGGCTCTAGCTTTTTAGCAATTACCCAGGATTCGTTATATATCACACAAGTAGATGCCCTTCAAGCTGAGCTAGAGCAAAGTCAGGAAATCACAAGCTGACTGACAAGTGCAGATGCAACAAACCCAGTTGTTGGATGAATTGCGAAAAATGAGTGAGTAGTTCAGTGGAAAGCATGTAGCTTCAATAAAAGAGGAGACTAATCTGAGTAGATGTTGTGCTCATATTTTTGGATGTCTGTTATTATTTATTTTGAATATTTATGTTGTTTTAAACGAACGAACTTTAAATTCAATTTTGAATTGTTTGGTGAATGATCAATTATTTTGAAATGTATGTTTATGTTCAATATTAGGTGATGATTATGATATTTATGTTTATATAGATATTTTAAGTTTGAATGCATATAGTTTTTGAATGTTTCTATGTAGGTTGTATTGTAGAATTCATTTTTCCAATAAAGATTTTTTTTTTCTACAAGTTTTGGGCGGATTGCAAGCGGATTGTCCAGGGAAACAACCACATGAATAAATAGTATAGAGTTTCCAGCAAAAACTTTTCACCATTATTTATGGTGGATATTCCGTAGAATGTTTTCCGTCGGTAAATGTCCGGCGAACCATCCGGCAGATTATTCGCCGGAAATTCGATGGCTAAAATGTTGGATTTCCTACCATGAAAACGACGTCTTGGTTTCATTTTTTTAGTCGGCATTCTTCCGTTGGAATTTTTCGACGTAAACTTTCCAACCCGCAAATTATCGTCGGACAACTTTTCGCAAAATTAAAAGTCACCATAAATAGGATTTTACCACCGAAATTTCAGTTTTACCGACGGATTTTGTTCGCCGATAAGGGGCGATTTTCCTGTAGTGATTGTTCTTATCGTTTCACGTAAAATGTCATACATACAAAATCACCCAATAAAAACTTAACATTATCATATCAACTTATACATAATGAAATGAAGATATCTATAACATGTAAAATTAAAAGTTACATAGTAAAAATTTGCTAGATTAAAATATATTATATTTATTAGATTAGAGAGAGAGAGAGAGATAACTTAAAATTTAAAATTATTAAAAATAGAAGTAGGATTATGGTAACCTCTAGTTTGCTCAGTGGCTCAACAGATAAAAATGACTGCTCTCTCTTCCTTCTCTCTCCCCATTCTCTTATCTTCCTATGGCCAAAAGCATGTAAAATAAGGATTAGGGGATGGGCAAAGGTACTAAAAAAGAGTTTATTGGATCTAAAAATTTGGAAAACATTTTTATTAACTCAGTGCCACAACGCTAACCCTAATTGCTATAAAATCAGAGAGGATGAAACCGAATGCCAAAGTCTAATGTCGCTGCACTCACCAACCCTGAGCCTTCCAAACAAAGAAGCAAGCGCCACAACACTCTCATACAAAAATTATAGAAATGCTATAATCTAAATTTAGATATATTAGGTTATCAACATGTCAATAACAAAGCATTAATCTAATGCAAATGAGGATCATTATACTCCTAACCACCACCACTAAACTATTATCTTAGAGTAATCATTTGTTGGCTACGGTATCATAACAACCATTGTCTTAGTGCAGTCTCTCAGATCACTTGACTACGACATCTCGATCACCGTCACATAGTTTTAGTCACGTGCCCATTATTGCTCAACTATGATATCTTAAACACAATCATCCAATTATATTATCCCGACCACCATCACTAAATTGTCATCTCTTGATTATGGCCTAAAACCATTACCAATCCTCTGCGATGTCCTTACCTCCATCATTTAACTATAGTAAATGAACATCATCATTTGAGCATCGTCGCTTGACTACCATGCTCAATAAAACTAATGTTCATCGACTTCATTTCTAATAAATGTTGAAACAAAACAATACTAATAAGATCAGTGTATGCGGTCAATGACAACTCTAGCTCTTTATGTTTTTGGCATTAAATTATCCAAGTAGAATAACCTAATAAACCATACATAATCTCTTGAAGGAAACTCCAATGCCTCAAGGCACTTTTAAATTCCATCATTTTGTATTCTATATAGTTCATGTCTTCTATGTTGTATTAATACCTTCCCCAATTATCGAGAATGACATTTTTTATAACTGATAATATACAATAGTAGAATCATTTCGACTTGGCTATGCCCCTTTTTTTTTCCTTTTTATATTTTCATAAAATTTACGATATTTGGTATAACTATTCTCTTATATGTATGTGTTATGAATATTTATACAAAGCTAAGATATTAAGATTTTATTTCATGATGTAACTTATTATGTGCATTCAGGTATTTGTATAGATCCTATCTATAAATAATGATTTGGCATGGGCATGCAATAATCTTATACTTTTGGTCAAATTTTTGCCTCTAAGATTTTCCCAAAGCCTTTCTTTTTAGAAGTCCCTCTAATATTGATTTTTAATTGATGTTCCATATATGTAATATGATATCTACTGTCATTTTGGTTATATAGTTTACAGTGCCAATGATATGATATCTATTATCATTTATAAACATGGTTCAAATTTTATTGTTTTTTCCTACCTCTTTTGAAATTTACTTAGTTTAGTTATTATATTAAAAATGCAGATGTATGCTCTAATCATATATGTAGAGATATTATATAATGCTTAGGTCATATAAAAGTGGGTGTGTGATGGAGAAAGTGATCATACAATATGAGGCTAGTGATTTCATTGTGTTCAATATTGAAAGCAATTGCATAAAAATTGATAATAATTAATTTTACATTAACCAATATCTAGTAAATGTGTTCTTGAAGATTAATACAAAGGTGGGCCTTTTAATAATAAAATTGCCCATCTTGCTCTCATGCATTGCTTGATGATAATGGTTTGAACCCTAAGGACCTTAAATACCTTGTATATTTCATTTTTCAAGTGCAGTTTGTGCTGTTTTTATAATGAGTGTTATCTTTATGTAATTTATTTCCAATTTGAATTTAATGATATGTTTATCAAAGGAACATAATTGTGTTGTCTTTTATAAGTTACTCCATAAGTTAGCAAAATGCAATTACTCGATATCATAAACATCGATGGACACAAGGGAATTATGTGTTGTTCTTGTGGTTTCATGCCGGCCTTACTCAATAATAATAATAATTTAGGTGATAATTTTATCATTAAATTACGTTGGTCATAAGAGACTTGTCAAGACAACTCACTGTTTAGTTGGCTTAAATGACATATTATATTTATCTTATAAACTACTTTGTTAAAGGTGTTTTGGTAGCTCTATACTATGTTATAGGCATTGAATTATATGAAGCTATCTCTATATTAATATATTATGTTATAACTATTATGATTTATTATGCTATATCAACTATTCTTATAGCTTTAATAACACATATAGTTGTATTTACAATTGTTAAATGAAGTTTGAATCATGTTCGAACCATATTGATATAGTGGTAAGACGCCAACAATTCTAAGTTCTTATCAAATACTATTTCAAATTTGTTTAAACCTTATTCAAACTATTGTCAGATGTGATCATGTGACTAACTTTAATGAAGTAATTTGTAGGGAAAAAATGTGGGATAATTTGATTCTAATTTCTAAATGAACTTATATATATATATATATATATATCATAAAAAAATAAAAAAATGAGCATATTTCTCTAATTTTAATTATCATGGGCATATATATATATATAAATGAGCATATTTCTCTAATTTTAATTATCATGGGCATATAAAGTTAAACATCCCTTTACATTTTCCTCTAATTTGAGTTGCACTTAGTTTTAACAAAAAATAATAACTTTAATTCTATTTTGATAACTATTTTTTAAATTTTGTTATCACGTTTTCAAATAAATAAATATAATTGTTGACCATGTTACTAAAAATTATAACTAAAACTTTATAAATTACAACAATTAATTATGTGCTGAGATAAAATATTAAAAATAGATAAAATATTTTTTCAATCATCATTCTGTCATGTCACTTGGCAGCTGATGCCTACTCATGTTGTCTTATAACATGAGATTAATTATTATGTGCGGATGCCAAACGTTGTCAGGAGACCAACTAGAATGCACCACCTCACCCTTCTATCAGTACCACCGCTCGGTACTGCTCGATAACGCTTATGTGGCGTATTCTGATTAGTATCCGGATGATGTTCTGCGTTCGGCCTACGCACAAAATAATTTCTCCTAACACGAACACCCGCTCGCTTATATTGCTAGACAAAAATGTTTATAACAATTTTTTTTTCTTCTTAAATCTCTCTTTAACATGATAAATGCCAAATGTTATTATTCATGTTTTTTCTTTTTCATTTTGTCTTCTATTAATTATAAGTAAAAAAGAATTTGTTGTATGGTGGCCTGTCCCATAATAAGGTAATCGTTTATCAATTATTTGTGAAAAAGTGTAAAGGTTACTTTTAAAAATTTATGAATTATTATGTCTCTTTATGGCTATTCATATGGTTTTTATTAAAATAAAAAAAAGGTTACATTTATGATCGCGACTTGTATGAATTGAGAAAAATAATTTTTAGTATAAAATTACGACCGTAGCCCTTCTGCTTCGCCAGGCCCTTATATCCCAACTCTCTTGTCTAAAGATGCCGTGCACTCCGCGGAGGATTTCTATGGCACTCTTGGACTGTCCACTCGTCGAGGACAGCAGCTGGTAGAAGGCGCTTAAGATAGAAGCAGGAATGTTACTGTGATTAGCCCAAAACTCGATCTTCCACGTTCTCTGCTTCTGTGATACCCGCTGGAATCAAGGATCGAGTTCCTTTATAAAAGGTTTGGTCCCGGCTTTATCCCTTCTCGGCATGTCAGCCGTTGCCAAGTGAGGCCCGGAGGTCGAAGGGATCAAGAGTAGAGACTGTGAAGATGCACAGGGATCGCGGAGGAGGGGTGACCGGATCCAAGGCTGAAATTGAGTCCCTTGACCGGAAGCGCATCAACGATGCGCTGGACAAGCAACTGGAGAAGTCTTCGCCGTCAACATCCCGGGGGTTCAGCGGCAAGAAGGAACGCTTGTCGGTTCCATCCTCGTCCGCTGGCAAGCAGCCTGATCTCAAGCCAGCTGGCCAGACTAAGAATAATCGATCCGATGGTGAGCTTTCTTCGCTATTCTCTCTATTTCTCAAGCTCGTGTGTTCGGGATGGTCTTCCCGATGGCGAGCATTTAATGGATGGGTATTTATTTTGTGAAATTAACATGTCGTATAGCCACAGTTTTTGCAAGTTCAATGAACTACTGCAACTTTCCATTTCGTGTATTTGTTGTTATAGGGCTTTCTGATATCGCTTATTGGAAATTTTAACGATTCCAAGCGTAATTTGGAAGAATTTCGAATTGCTTTTAACTGTTACGTAATTTGAGCATCATGGACGCTCAAGAAAAATATGTGATGGTTCTAATCAATCAACTTGATTTCTTTTATTAATTGTGAAATGAGAACCGCTGACTTATAAAATGAGCTGGGCATCGTCACGAGTAAGTTCTTAGATAAATTATGCCTCCTACTTTTAGGAGGATAATGAGCTGCAAAGATCTTCTTTTTGAGAACTGTGGTATTGTACTATGCAGTAATATGTAGTTGGAGCCTGGAGGTGCCTTTGTAAATTTTTAGCTGATTCAAGGATTCATTTCCAATAATTTTCATAGGTTTTATGATTGGTTTTCAACCTAACATCAATACTCAGCATTTTTTTAATCACAGCTATTCTTTTTTTTTTATTAATCACAGCTATTCGTTACTATCATGATGTGCAGAACTAGGATTGAGTGCACAGTGTGTACTTTTAGTGAATTTTAAATGGATTGTTTACCAACCAATATTATTGGAATATCATGAAGTTAAGTGGTAGGTTTAAGTATCTTCGATTTATCATATAAAAATAGGGATATAGATGGGGAGTATAAATTTTAACCAAGTCGAATATCATAGAGATTAGAAAGTTAATATGAATGCATGCTAAAATTAGATTTTATAAAGTAATTATTATATTAAAGGGGTTGTGAGAATAACACTTACTATGTTATGGTCATGACATAAATATATTGAAAATAATTATTGTGACATAAATATATGGAACATAGGTTAGAACAAAGGTAATTTGGGTAAAGTTTTCACAAAAAGACACATGTCAAGTTGAGTTAACACATCCTTTTGCGGTCAACAAGAATGAATGTAGAAAAAAGATTCATTAATCAATTTTGCATATTTGGGATAAGGCTAATGATGATATTTGTGATGATGATGATGAGCTAATTCCTTTGTAGAAGTAGTTGCAATACGATTTATAGGCTTCTGCATTCATTTCTCTCTAGATGTAATACTAGGAAGAATCATTGGTCTATGCAAAACTTATTTTTTATAGATTGAATAATGGTTACTCTCCTTCCAATTAAACATTGAAGATACAAATTTAAGGATGATATCAAAACAAGTTCGAGGCTTCGAGCAAGTTCGATTCCAATTTAACTTGAAAATTTTGATTTTTTCTTTACTTTACTTAAATAACAGGGAGGTCATATACAACCTATCTAATCTATTGTAACTCATGGTTAATTTGTGATATAAGTCAATGATCTTTCATAAAAATGTCTTTTTTTGGGCATGCTTTGGTCAGAGTTGTTCTAGGTTATGGTATTGTCCATGCTCATCTCTTTTTCTACTTTTCTTTGTTGTAGTCTTGAACCAAAATCTTACATTCGATAATTTAAGTTTGCTTCATATATATTTTTCGCCTATCAAGAGTTCAATGTAGAAGGATTTAGCGGGGAAGCGATAATAGGATTTAGATCCCATCTAAATATTTCAAGTTGTTTATCACTCAAAAAATTTGAGGGAGAAGAGAAGAGTTGATACAAGAAATATGAAATTGCAATGCTTCATGGCGTAGAATATTGGCCATTAAAAGAGAAGCATAAAATTAAGTTAACTATTGCAGAGATGAGGATGCTCCAGTGGATTAGTGGCTTCACTCTTAGAGATAGAATGTGAAACGAGTATATATGTGAAAAAGTTGGAGTAGCTCCAGTGGCTTATAAGATTAGAGAGAGTCGCCTTGGATGGTTTGGGTTCATAAAACATCGGCCTTCTGATGACCTAGCTAGGAGAATAGATATTTTAGAAAGGTAGAGGTAGACCTAAAAATATTTGGTTAGAAAATATTAGAAATTATTTTATTTAATTAAAATGAGAATTTGACTCTTAACAAGACATAATGGAGAAAAAAAATTCATATAGCCGACCCTATGTGGTGGGATAAATGTTTGATGATGTTGTTGTTTTTGTATTTGTCCTCCCAAATTACAAGTATTTATAGACGACAAAACTAACTCAAGCTAACTCATTCCAACTAACTAATAGTTCTTATCAACACTGATTACAAGAATGACTTGGATGCCAATCATTTACTCACAACACTACTTCCTCACCCGCAATAACCTTGCCCTCAAGGTCATACTCTCAAATTGGTTCAATAGAGGCAATGATCATCTACTTAGTGGTGTGGGCTATTAGAGGTCACTTGGTGAGGGGAAAATTGATATGTAACCCCTCAGAAGAGGCTTATGCAGATGAGAAATATGTTGTCGGAGTTGATTTGGTGGTGGAGTGAAAGTTTGGAGTGCAATAGGGGTATGTTAAGGGTTTTGAATAGAAAGTTCATATGATACTACGCTAAATTCAAATGATTAGATCTTGCTGAAAAATAAAGGACACCTAGATTTAATGTGGAAAAACCCAAATTAGTGAAAAAATCACGTAACCACATGACACCAAGAAATCCACTATGAAAATTAGGAGAAATAAGTACAAATCTCTCTTCTATCTCTTATTGTTTCTCTTCTCACATGCACTGTTCTTAGTATCTTAAATCCTAAAAAAACAAGAGAAAGACAAGAAAATAACCTCAAGGGATGCGACCCTTCAGAAAACGAGAAAAAAAACCATCTAGTCCATCTCGCAGCGCAGCGGCGCTTGAACATCTGTATTGATCCGCTGCTGCGCCGTATCTATACCACTGCGTCGCTCTGATCTCTGTCGTTCAGTGCTGGGGCGCTCAATTTGAGCCCTAGTAGTTGGTGGGATTTTTCTATCATACAGTGCTCCTGGTGCAAGACCATTCTGTCACAATTTCTCGAGTGGATTCTTCTTTTGCACTATATAAGAAATTATGTCATAAGAAATACTTGCTGAACACTCGAAGAATTTAGTTCTTGTAAGTGAGCAATGGTTGAGGTTGCACATATATTTCATTCCTTACTATCATCATTTCAAGGATTGTTTCTTAACTTTCACCCACTTAATATTTAAAATAATTATTACAGTTTTATCAAAATAAAAAAAAGCTTATCTAAGATTAGTCACAATATTCTCCACCATATCATCCAACGCCTTTGCCTAAGTGACATTGAATTAGACAGTCCATAATTTAAGTCATGAGAAAGAGTGGATTTAAAATTTTCTTCTTAATGAGTTGCTATTATTGAATTAGCTAGACTATATTTTTAAAGCATATTTTTTAAATTCATCAATTGGATAGTAATATCTTCCAAAATAATAAAGATGGACATTATTTGATCATTTTGATTATTAAGTGTTGTCCTAAAATCCAAAATCAAATGAGTGTCATCCTCCTCTAAAATGCAAATTAGGTCGGTGATGAATCCGTGAGGCTTTGGAAGGAAAGAGAATAAGGCTTGGAGAGCCAAATAAAGTTGGGTGCTATCTCAATTGTAGATTGAGAACCCCATATAAAAACATGTTTTTCTAGGGATTGAAGAGCCCATGCTCGAAATCTACTACTGGGTATAGTTTCATGTTTGAAAACTAGGTAGAGAGGTCTCTATTGGAGAGAATCATGAGAATGGAAATATATTGATTATGGTCGTACAGGAGAGAGAAATGTTTTGTTGGAGGCTTTGAGGTGTAAAAGTTTGAGGGAAAGTGGAATCTGATGAGAGCAAGATATAAAGAAAGAGAGATGTCTATGATATTATAAGTCGAGACAATCAAATAGAGATGACAACGATAATATTGACGAAGTTGGCAATGGTCGATTCGCATAGAGAAACCAAATTATGTTAATCATGGTTCAATGGGCAACTTTGCACCATGGTGTGCCATTTGCTATTGACAAGTATGCTATCGATAAAAGCATCATTGATAGGATGTAGATCAAATATGAACAATTTGAGTTGTTATGTTCTTCAGAATTTCATAGAAGAGAAGAATTGATACAAGAAAGGAGACTTGATTTTATTTTTCATCCCTAACTAGGACTTATTTACATAATACAAGACTAACTCAAACTAACTCCAGCTAAATAACCATTGCTATCTGATAGGAAACACTTGAGGTTCTCAAGTGAAAACCTATCAATTTTGGAAAAAACAACATGAAATATCCATAGAATTCTTAGGAAAAACCTGAAAAATAGCAATTTATTGCAATAATCAGAGACAACGGAAAGAAAATACCAAGATACAGTTAATCCTCAATTTGAGAGGAGGATCTATCTCTCCCAATCCCTAGACACCACCAGAGCCCAAGAATGCCGAGCACCAAGACACAAAAAAAGCCACAAACATCAAGATAACCCTAACCCTAATTTTTCCTTCCTTTTTAAAGCATACAATAAAATAACCCAAGCCCAAGTCGCCCCCTCCTTCCTAATGGGATTCCCTAGTTTTCGACTGAATCAGTGTAGTCGGATATTAAACTACCTCGAAGGGCGGATTAATATCCTTATATTGATTCTGAAGAAAGAGAACGACGATTCACTTTCCTAATCAGGTATGACATAAGGAATATACAAATCATCCGAAAGGACGATTAATATCTTCCCTATTTACCTAATTAGGTTAGTGAATTGTTGATTCATTCCTAAAATCAAGCATACAGACGATATTTGATTTACTTGTGAAAGTAAATCAAATATCTATCTATTTCTTGATTATAAGAATGAATCTAAACAAAAATATAGATAAAGCAGGGTTTTCTTTTTAAAAATAAGACTTTTTATTTTCTCACATGATTCGCTTTATTTATATTTAGAATATCATCTCCCGATTAAATCTACATAGTTGGATATTATACT